GGCCAGAGTTTATAAATGGCATCAGATTTTCTGCAGCTGATGAACAGTCAAAGCATCAGGAGCTGTGATGCTTTGCTCAGTGCTGATACTTGCTCCGAGGGGATTTCCTTCTCTTCCTGACACAGATGGTGAGCTAGGTCCTGCTCACCTCTAGCTTGGGTTACTGCAGCATGCCCAAGGGCATCCAGAAATAGCAGTGTGATCTCCAGTGACCTCCCTGTTACCTCTGTGTGTAATTCAGGCTGTTAACTTTGACATACATTAGCTGTAGATAGCTCAAGATCTCCTTACCTCACCTGCACCTCACTGCAAGAGCCACTTTGTAAAATGCTATTACTTGTAATCCAGTAAGAGCTGGGCTACTATAAAATGTAAAAATCTGCAGTAATGTTGCTCTGTTTTGGGGAAAACGATACGAATCTGTTTAGAATTCCCTTGGTTCTGCATTTGTGGCACCTGACCAGGCCCTTAATGAGGCTACAAGCCTCTCTGGAGCCAATGAGTCGATCACTTGGTATCACTGTGAGAGAGGACTGAAGATATCATACAGTGGCAGAGAGCAGCCCTTGGCCAAAGCCCTCCTCTGCTTTGTGAAAGGAAACAGTCACACACATTTCTTCTCAACTTTTCTTGGAGAATGTGGAAGAAAGGGCACAGAACCAGAGGACGGAAGAGCACAATACCCCTGACCTTCTTTAAATGACATTTTTCTCTAAGTAAACTGAAAATTTGCATATTCCTTTAGCAGTACATGTTGTTCCTTGCATATTTCATGAGGACACTGTAGCTGATGGGAAACCCGTGGCAGTGTGGTTACTAGCTGCCTGCTAGTGCTGGGCCAGTTATGCAAAGGGCACAACCAAGGGCTCCAAATTTGGGTCAGGATTCTCCAGGGGTCCTAAGCTGTGCACTGTCTGCACTTTCATGCTCCTTGTCCCTCCAGAAAAGAGCACACTAAGCCATCCGCATGGACTCTTGCTATAGCTGGCAGTGTTATGGACTTCATTGCTCACTCAGAAATCAGAAATAGCACATTTGTAACCTCTCAGATTTTAGAACAGCATCTATTCTCTTTCATTGCAAAACCTTCCGATGCTGATTATTTTACAGAATTTTTCAAGTTGTAATTTGGTTTTATAGGCTGTGTCTTCTATTTTCAGCTATTAGAAAATATCTGAACAACCTGTTTACAATTCCTTGACCTTCAATAAGGGTGGAGTAATGTCAGAGTTGGCTGTTGTTAGCTTTGTTCCATGGAAGTAATGTTTTTGTGGCTGTTAAACAGGAAAAGTCTTACTTTGTACAGGCTAGGGGTGGGACTGAGTGATTCAGGGACAAATGCATGGATCCAGAGTGGACCTTTCCTTCTAACAGGCTCAATTTAAGAATAATCACCTTCTCTTTTGATGGAATATACATGCTTCTGTAAGAGCTTTTTTTGTCTCTCAGAGCAAATTAAAGACAGGCAATTTTATGACGTTTTGGATCACTGATGAGGAAAGGCTCATTTGTACAGCCCAGTGAGCAAGCCTTTTGGTTGTTTCTCATTACAGACAAATTATGTGGTTATATGTAATACACAACATAAAGCATTCAGATGTAACATAAAATCAATACAGCACTTTCTGAAAAAGAAATGTACATTTTAATGTCCTTATTATTTCTTCTGTGCCCAAAGAGGGGGAAAAGATCCGTGCACTGTAGATCTTGTAGAAGATAGACAGACAAAAATCATTCAAGGGTTGATACTTATTGTTCTGTTTCTGTTACTGCAGGGACAACAGTAGTAATTTTTAAAACATTGTTCCTGTGTGATCTGCTCTGTGCAAGCTGATAAGAAAACATGGTCTTTCTGTGCGTGCCACACATAAGGAATGCCTACCGCCCATATGGTAAGCCTTGGGCTCCTGTGTTAGAGTTCCTGTGTTAGCAAACTGGGAAGAAAAGAAGCAAAGGAGTTATTAGGTTTCTAATGTTTACACCCTGCTTGTGTATAACATGAGCATAGGGATGAATGGAAAATCTTTCAGCAGTGCATCTTCTGTGTGGTCATCTTGGTTATCATATGCAGAGCTACGGCTGAGCTACGCGGATTTTCACCACATGCAGGGCTGCCCTGGTGTTTTGTCCAAGCATTTGCTGTGACATATGACACAGGGCATAGGAATGTGCACTGGAGGGTATGGCTGAAGCAGTAGGAGGTGCTTGAGAACAACAGGATTAAAGGATATGAGGGACTCATTGTTCTATTACCAGGAGAAATGAGGCCTCTGATACTGCAGTGGAACATTTTGTTCTACATCTGACTCATCTTGGTATGTCCAGAGGCAGCAGGATTTCCGCTTCTCGAACCCTTTGATGGTACTCTTGAGGTAGCACGTGCACCGGGATGGCTTATTGGGTTTTTGCATCAAATGCTTCCTTAACATCAAAATGCATTGCTAGTGTGACTTCAGCCACTGCAAAACACACGTCTGTGTTCCTTAGCAAATCAGCTTAAATAGGAGAGGCCCTTTTGTTTTTGGCTCTGTTGTACAACTATTCTTATAAGCATCTTTCCAAAGGCTTAATATATTTTTATGCTGTTCATGTGAATATTAAAAGCCACGGAAATGAACAGCATCCATGCCAGCAGATTGCTTTAAATCTGCTTAGCATGGATACTGCTCTCTGAAAGGAATGGTTTACCTTGCTCTCCTCTGTCTGTGTGTGTCCGTGGCTTTGGGTCTATGTTACGTACACGCACACATGCCTTTTTGTTGTTTCCTCACAATCATTGTCTGTTTTTGTATCCCCACAAATAAGGAAAGCAAAACAAATGAGAAAACAAATGAAGAATAGAAGGATTTAGTAATTACACACATAATGAGAAGGCAAAGCCTTGCTTCTTCTACAAAGATTTACAGCTCTGTATTTAATTCCCAACTGTTACGCTTTAAGATAGCATTCACTGCTAATGTGGGGAGGAGCAGCATGTTCTTTGGTTATTCAAGTTTATAGCACTGAACTCCTCAATTCTGACCCAAACTACACCTGATGGTGGAGTTTTCAGGCACTGGGTCGAGTGTTGGTGATTTGATTTAATGCAGTTTGCATTTCTAAGCAATCTGACCCACAAACACTAACAAATCCAACATACATAGAAAGAGAAAAATGTAGCTGTTGCATATTCAAGGGGCTCACCTTGAGGGATATAAGATTGCAGAGTACCTATGGCTATCAGTTGCTTGAATTGTCTTAAGGTTTGCAGGTTCACTACAGCAAACTGATCAACAGTTTTCTTCATGTAAGCTTTTTTCTGTCCTAATGTTGTGCTATTTGCAAGCAAATACTGCATTTTCACACCTTCTTCAATTACATCCATCAGTACAAATGCTGATCTCGAGGATCAATTGATGAGCTCATCTGGACTTCAAGGGAATAGGAGCAATCCAATACCTTAAAAAAAAAAAAAAAAAAAAAGAAGGAAAGAAGGAAAGAAGGAAAGGAGGAAGGGAGAAAGGGAGGAAGGAAGGAAAGGAGAGAGGAAAAGAAAGCAAGAAAAAATACATCGTATTTTCAACATTTGCAGCAAAAATATTCAACAGATTTATTCAGGTCATTAAACAAGTGTTCAAATTATGCAAATTAAAAAATAGATATTCATACAAAACATCCTGTGTGCATGTTTTCCCATGACCATGTGATCTTGGTGAATGGTGCCTAAATTAAAGCCCAGCCCCATTGCTCCACAGAGAACAGATGCACGTTATTGCTCGCAGGTAGCAACAAGGGCAACACATTAAATTCAGCACCCTGGGTCAAGGGCAGCAGTTCCATTCCTGAGCTTCGTGTTTAGCGGTGGTTTGGCAAGGAACTCATATAGAAAAACACAACAGTGATTAAAAATATCAATACACTTCACCTTGGAAGACTGCCATTTTACAGCAGGGAGAATCCAGGCAGAAAACCAGTAACTTGGGAATGATCACACAGTAAGGCTCCAGGCAGGGATGGAAATAAAAGCTGGAGATGTGCTCTCCCATCCACCACAGCAAAGATTCTTCAAACGCAGCCCATAAGCTCTTACCTGTGTCCTGGCAAGTCTCAAAATATGGCTCAATATAAATGAAAATGCAGACATCCACCCCTGAGCCAGCCTGTTGCTGAGGCCAAGGCAGCTCCATCTCCATTTCAGCAATGCCCTCCAGATGAATTGCTTCCCAGTCCCCAGCTGAGGGGAACCAAAAAATGGCCCAGTCTGAATGAACAGCACACAGGGAATTCTGATGTGAGGGCATGGCTTCGAATGCACACTGTGGACTTCAAAGCCATCGCATGCCATCTTGCAGTGATGAGCAGATCAGATCTGTGGTTCTTTTCCTTCCAAGACTCCCTGTTAAATATGCACAGCTTTCCATTTTCTGCTCATTTCTGAATTGCATGGATGCCAAACTGACCAGAGGTTCTGATAGCAAACGAAGAGGCTTTTGGAGAAACCTCTTTATCCCACAGTTTATTTGGTTACTGTGTTTCATTCTTTGCATATTCATCCTACAATAAGAATATGTTTGTTATGTTGTTTTTTTTTTAATGGGACGTTCAAATATCATCACAAACTCTGAGACAGCAGGCAGTGTTTACCACAGCAGTGGTATCCGGGATGAGTAGGAAGATGCATTTACATCCGTTGTTTTTACAGCAAAAAATGGGGTTGCATAACTGCTTTTGATCAAAGTTTCCAAAGGCAGCGACTGGTTTGTTTGTTCTCCAACCTGCTCACCGAGGTCATCCATGAAAAAGGGTTTTTTAAGTGGTAAACAATAAAAAGGGGAACAAAATTGTAACAAAGCCCATCAGGCGTTCTTATTATCTGTACAAATGCAAAGTTTTTAGTGACCTTAGCAGCAGTTCCATAAGCATATGGAGAGCAAAACAAACTGTTATTAAATGCCGTTACACATATGGTCTCCTGACAGGATGTTCCAAGCTATGCCGCGATTTTACAGCCCGTATGCACCATGCAGCAGTTCTTCGCCTCAAAGCAGGAGTCAAAAATAGCACGTCAGCATGGACTCTGCATTCTTGGTCTCTTATGGGCAGTCTGCATTGTGCACTGTGTCTAGCTGCGCTGAGCAGCAAAAAAAAAACTCCATCTGAGTGCGATTTGGTTTTGCTGGTTCGTAATATGAAACATGATGCACGAGATGCAAGAACATCCCAGCACTTAGAGCAAGCATTGCACAGTTTTATGCCACAAAACACTTAAAGATAAGAAAAGTGTTACCAGGAACTTTGGTAGGGAGCGTGCAGCCGGCAGGTAGGACAGCGGGGCCGCGCAGGGCGTTGCGGGCTGCGGGCTGGAACTCCCCATCTCACCTCACGGCGACAGAGAATGAGGCAGCAGCAGCAGCCACACCGAAGTGGTTTTTAAACGTCTGCCAGCGGTGTAAACGCTAAGCGCCGTTATGTGCGGTGTGTGGGTCGTACAGATCAGCCCGCGACAGACCGGAGCCCGGCAGGAACGCATCAGAAGCCCGAGGACTGCTTCCAGCACTGCGTTCCGGCTGTACGTACTACACCGGTTACACAGCCGAGCGGCTGGCAGGTTGCGGTCGGCTTGGAACCAAACCGAGTCTCGTTCCCCGAGCCGTCCCCGCAGCGTAAGACGATGCGCAGGCGGTGAAGCTCCGCACGGAGCCGCTTTCCGCA